GAAATTTTCACCCATTTATACCTCATGCTGAATAAATTACAGACTTTCTGGAGGGGAGGTATTTTTTAAATTAACTTATTTCATGGAGGTATGATTTATATCAGCAAAATGCACAGATCTTAAGTTTGATGAGTTTTGACAAATGTATACACCTGCGTAACCAACACCCAGTTGTGATACAGAACATTTCCTTTACCCCAGAAAGTTCCCCGGAGCCCTTTTCCAAAACTCCTCTGCCTGTCCTCATCCCAGCAGAGCCAAGGCAATCTCTGTTCTGATTCCCGTCGCCATATATTAGTTTAGCCCGTTTTGGGGGGTAGGTTTTTATCTAGAGCAGTAGTTCTCCAAGAACAGTCCCTGGACCAAATAGTACTAACATCACCTGGGAACCTGTTACAAATGCAAATTCTTGGGCCCTAACCATGACCTTCTGCCGAGTTAGAAACTCAGAGTAGTGTGTGTGTGTGTGTGCATGTGAGAGAGAGAGAGAGAGAGTGTGTGTGCATGTGAAAGAGAGAGAGAGAGAGAGAGTGTGTGTGTGTGTGTGTGTGTGCACTACCAGCCTTCAGGTGATTCTGGTCATGTTCAAGTTTGAAGAGCTTGGGGACTAAGAACAAAATTGGACAGAATGGGGAGGGCAGTGCTGGTTGTGTATGGGGTGAGTAGGGTGGGACGGAACGGGGTAGGTTAGCCCAGAAGACAGCTGCCTCACGTAGCTTAGAAACACCAAAAGGAAGGAGGAAAGGCTGAGCATTTGTATCAGAATTTCTACATTTTGGTTTTGCAAAGTAATAATGAGGGTCTGTAGGCTTCAAGTTTCGCAAAAGAGAAGCATCAAGTTTTATATGAGTTCTAAACCTGTGGAAACTGGTTTTCACAAGCTGTGATTGGCAAATGAGTCGTTTATTTTATAATACGATTTTATAGACAAGATCTTCTATAAAATCTCTTTTCTTGGAAGGGAAACTAATAGAAATTGCCCTTTATGTTGCAATTGCTGAAATCCAGCTTGAGGGTCTGAGAAATCCACCAACCGCAGTCCCTACCTGCGGAATGATGGAGAAGTAGAAATAAAGGCTGCCCAAATGGAAGTTTCCCTGAAGAGAAGAGGACCCAGGTATATAGCCAGCTGCTTCCCCGAGCTCCCTCGGGAGGTTCAAGATGGGAAGGCTAATGAAAAGAAATGATTCAAGTTGTGCCTGGACGTGGGTGGTGCTTTTGACATGTGCTTGGTTGTGTTAGCACACGGAACTGTTGTCCTGGAGTTTCTGAAATTACACCACCAAGAAGCCGTGTGTTTCCTGTCTTGAGCATTTGCGGGAAATTCAGAAATACACGGTGTGTGTATGCAGACCCTCAGCAGCACGATTGCAGTTTTCCCGAGACACATTCCAGCCTGTGCCACTCTGCAAATTAACTCTGAGGGAGAAGATCCCGCGAATCTGGCAGGCTGCGAATTTGGCCTGAAGCGCCCCTTTGTCGACTCTGGGAACAGTGACTCTGCCCCTGGATTTTCCTTCCAAGGAGTTGGTGTCGTGTCCCACAGATAGCACCGTGTGAGACCGATGGGATTTACCGGTCCTTTGATAGTGAGTGTTGGACCAAGAGCCTCCGGTTTCCAGGACTAGATCCTGGGAAGAGGAGAGAAAGTTGGCACATCCAGCACGAGTCCTGGCCGGCCGAGGATGGTGGAGAGAGCGAGGGAGGCTGTAGCCCCTGAGGTGCTAGCTGGAATTCGGGCCCGCCTGCTTGACTGAGGCTTGGTCCGTTCTTCCCAGGATGCCCTGCTCAGACCCAGTGAACCCAGGGTTGACGCTTCTCTGCTCGGCTGGGGGGACCCCTGGATTTGTGGCAAGTTTCAGATGGCCTACTTGCCCCACCCGTGAAGCAAACACTTGAGCTCCTGGGCTTCACAGTCAAGGCAATTTGGGTTAAAATGCAGTACTCTGCGCCAGCTTCCCGAAGTACAACCACCCCATTTTTCATTCAAAACCTCCTGTGTGAAAGAACATGCATGGCAACGACTCTCTTTGAGAAAGTGCTACCAAAATTACAAGCTGACAGGCTAATCAGGGTGGCTTCAGGCACAAGTCCTATTTTCTGTTTTCATCTTTTTCTTTTTTTTAGCATGTCTTCTTTTAAGCAATATGCTTCTTAGGTAATTTGACTGAAAGGCTTTCCTTTCCAACATAAAACTAGAAGAAATTCAAATTAAAAATTATTTCCCTTCTTTGAACACGAAAAACAAGCATCACCACATCCCTTTGACACAGCAATTCCGCTTCTAGAAGTTTATCCTAATAAAACATGTGCCGAAATGAGCTGGTCATTTTGTAGCATTGTTTTTGAAAACGTGAGGGGCGCCTGGGTGGCTCAGTAGGTGAAGCGTCCAACTCTTGGTTTCGGCTCAGGTCATGATCTCATGGTTTGTGGGTTTGAGCCCCAGGTTGGGCTCTACACGGACAGTGCAGAGCCTGCTTGGGATTCTCTCTCTTCCTCTCTCTCTTTCCCTGCCTTGCTTCTCTAAATAAATAAACAAACAAACAAACAAATAAATAAATAAACTTAAAATTTTTTTGAAAACACTGAAAAGTTGGAATCAAAATGTCTGTAATGATTAAATAATTTGCTATGGTATAGCCTTTCAAAAGATTGGGGTAATTTAAAGTGCTAATGTGGAAAGAGCTCTAAAACGTTAGGGAAAAAATAGGCTTCTAGTTTACAGCCCTGCACGTAAGGAAAGAAGTTGAACCAATAGTTAATAACCTCACCAAACAGAGAGCACCAGACCCAGATGAGTTCGCAGAAGATTCTACCAAACATTTAAGGAAGAAATAATACCAATTACTAAGACAACCTCTTCCAGAAGTTAGAAGCAGAGCGAATGCTTTCTAACAGATTCTATGAGATCAGCATTACCCTATTACCAAAATGAGACAGAGTCATGACAAGAAGGTAAATCCACAGACCAATAGCTAATGAACATAAATGCAAAAATCCTCCACAAAACTTAGGCAGTTTGAATCTAACAACCTATAAGAAAGAATTATACACCATAACCAAGTGGGATTCATTCCAGGTACGCAAGACTGGTGCAACATTCAAAAATCAATTAATATAACCCATGACATCAACGAGCTAAAGAAGAAAACGCATGTGACCATATTGATAGATGCAGAAAAGCATTTGACAAAATCAATGCCCTTTCAAGATATGATTTAGCAAACTAGGAACAGAGGAGAACTTCTTCAACTGCATAAAGAACATCTATGAAAACCCTACAGATAACCTCATACTTAATGGTGGGAAATTTGAAGCCGGACAGCTTAGTGGGAACACGAAGTTATTTTGTGTACTTTGAAGGGAATTTATTGTGTCTGTCCCTACATGAGAGGACTGGGTAGGTGAAGGGCTTCGGATCGCAGCAGGAGTGGCCCTGCCCACCTCGGGGGTGGAGTCTGACCTGTGTCTCAAGCCCCAGCTCTGTAACCATTAATCTCTTCTTCAGCTAAGAGTTCATTCCACACAATTGGACTCCGTGTCGGGATCTGTCCCACAGACCTCTGAACCCAAGGGTCTCACATGAGCCGGACCCCAGGGCTCCCACTGATGCGGAGGCAGGAAAGCTCGGAGGCAGGAAAGCCTCTTCTCACCTTCAGGGCTCCGTCGCTGGCTGAAGTCTTGGGTTTTTCATAAGCAATTTGCAAGTTTTAATACAAACCAGCCTACATTCATGGCTAACAGGCTCACTTCCAGTAAAAAAAAAAAAAATATATATATATATATATATATATATATGCACCAGTAAAAACATTCTCAGAGGACATTTAGAACAAGGGTTTAAAAGGAAACCTGGGCCTCATTCCCCAAAAGTGACTCTCGGGACCAGCCTGAGGGCAAAGCCCTGGAAGAGGTTCCAGGGAATGGGGGAGGGGGGGCTCTTCTTCATCTTTAGAGGCAAGCGTGGGGCTCCCCCACAGAGGGACCGGAATGTAAACTGTGGGCTTCCAGTGAAAGTGGCATGACAGTGTGGGTTCAGAGTTTGTAACAAGTGTGCCCCCCGTGGTGTCGGATGTGGATAATAGGGGACACTGTGCCTGTACGGGCTCAGGGGACACATAGGAACCCTCTGTACTTTCCACTGTACTTTGCTGTAAACCTAAAACTGCTCCAGAAAACAGCTATCGGTAATACATATGCTAGAAACTTAGGTTAAAACCACACACAAAACTATACCTATCTGTGTCTACAGACACGTGTACACATGTTGGTATGTATCCATACCTATATCTGTGCTTCTTTGCATACGCCAAGCTGGTGACGGGGTCGCCATCAGAGGCTGGGGGAAGGGAGGGGCACCTTCGGCTGTACCGTCTGGTCTGTAGCCTTTTAGCTTTTGAACCAAGAGCATCTATCTGTTCGCTTTCGTTAGTAAGGCGGAAAGGAGCTTTGCTGCTAGACCTTGGCTTCTGGGTCTTCCCTGCGAGGAGACATTGGTGGGCCATGTTGCCTGGCAATTTCAAGATACAAAGTTGTAGCACTTTGTAGCACATTTATTCACTCAAGTTTTTTTAAGTTTATTTAATTTTGAAAGAGAGAGCGCGCGCGCGCTCATGTGAGAGAGAGTGAGCGCACATGCGAATGCAAGAGTGGGGGGAGCCGGAGAGGGGCAGAGAGAGAGAGAGAGGGAGAGAGAGAACCCCAAGCTGGCTCCACACTGTCCACACAGGGCCCCACGTGGGGCTCGAACCCCTGAACTGTGAGCTTGTGACCTGAGCTGAAGCCTAGGGCCAGACGCTTACCCGACCGAGCCACCCAGGTGCCCCATTGGTGCCAGGCATCCGGCCAGGCTCTGGGGGCGCCAGGGTGAAGGCGAAGTGGGCCCTGTGACCCCAGTTCAGGGTGCAGGCAGCACCCGGGAGGGGGAGAGCCGATTGTTCGTTCAGGTTTGTTTTCTCCCGGTAGTTGGGGAAGGCTGACTGCCGCCTCCTTTTCTTCAGACAAGCCGTGTGGAGACCCGCCCTCGTTCCCACACACCGTCCTGCAGGGCCGCACGGGCTTGGAGACCGGGGATGAGCTGCTGTACGTGTGCGCCCCGGGCCCCGCCACCGGCCGCCGTGGATCGGCCTTCACCTTGCTGTGTAACAGCTGTGGGGAGTGGTACGGCCTGGTGCAGGCCTGCGGGAAAGGTAAGCCCCCCCACCCCACCCCGGGCTGGGCCCCCTCCGGGCGCCCACACACCGTGAGCAGGGCCTCGCCCCTTCTGCTGGCAGCTTGGGGTGGCCTCTTCTCCACAAAGGTACCTTTGAAAGAGGCTTTCAGACCTCCCCACCCTCCCGCCGAGTTCTGGACCTGCCCACGTCTGCACTTGACCTTAGGTTAACTTTCTAACTTATTTCCCTGGAAATCTGATCAAGATGCCGAACCAAGGAACGGTGCTTGTGGTAAAGAGGAGCCCTGATTGTAACCCCGGGCCGGAGGGCGGTCATGAACACAGGACGCAAGCTGGGCTTCCCCGAGTGTGGGGGGTCTCGCGACTGGGCTTAACCTTTGTGAGGACCTTGAGGGCTTCGCTAAGGGTTGTGACAGGAGCTCGTGACTCTTGTGGGGCCCGGGGCTCATCCACCGGGGCGGGTCCACAGCCTCACATGCAAGCCCTGCTTCTTTGCCCCTGAGCCGTCCTGGGGCTGTCGTGGGGGCGGAGGGTGACGCCGGGAGGATATTCCAAGACAGCTGTGTGGTCTGGCCCCACCGACGACAGCTGCCCGCCTCTGTCCTGGCACCTCGTTCTGTCCCCGGGGCTGCAGCCTGGGGCAGATATTTAGTTGAGACTAACGATTCCGGGTGGACATCAGACACCAGAAACCTGATCTGATTCCCCCAGGTGTCCCCACTCCATTATTGTTGTAAACCTGAGGGTCTCAGGCTTCTGCACCCACCCCCCACCACCCTGGGGGATTCTCCCTGTAGCAGAAATCACTGTCCCCAGCCACAGCCTGGCCTCCCTCCTCGTGACCTGGGCGTATGGCTTCTTGCCGGACTGTGAATTGTTCCCTGACCTCAGGAGGCTCCTCTCACCCCAAGGCTCCTTTGGGGGCCACTTCCTGACCACCCCTCCCCCCCCCGTGACATCTGGGTACCAAGCGGAGGTTGGCTCCACAGAGGGGAATGAGTCCAGAAGCACAATGGTAATGCATTTACTGGGCAGTCTGTCCCTAGAACGTCCCACAGATCCCACGGGGGAACCACGAGGAGACTAGGGTGATGTCCTGTCTATGAGATGCATCCGTGCTGTGGCCCGAGCTGTGGTTCGTTGTCTGTGCTGCTGTCTGCGAAAGGTGAACACAGCAGCACTGTCCCTGCGGTCTGCCGGCGGACCTTTGGCCTGTTGTCATTTGCAAGCTGTACCGCCATGATTGTTCTCATCTGGGTCGTCTGGGTCACACGCGAGCGTCTCCCTGCTGGTTCCTGGGAGTGGAATTGCCTTCCGGGGGTTAGCGGTGTCAGTGGATACTGCTGCAGAATTTTCTAGAGTATTCTGACCAGTTCACTCTCTGGACTAGCTATGTCTAAGAGTCCTCATTGTTCAGCCTCCTCACCAACCTTCAGGACTGTGACATTTTTTTTTTTAAGCATTTTTTTTTTAATTTTTTTTTCAACGTTTATTTATTTTTTGGGGGACAGAGAGAGACAGAGCATGAACGGGGGAGGGGCAGAGAGAGAGGGAGACACAGAATCGGAAACAGGCTCCAGGCTCTGAGCCATCCGCCCAGAGCCCGACGCGGGGCTCGAACCCACGGACCGTGAGATCGTGACCTGGCTGAAGTCGGACGCTTAACCGACTGCGCCACCCAGACGCCCCAGGACTGTGACATTTTTACCTTTGCCAACCTAGGGACTGCTCTGCGGTCACTTGCTTGTAGTATTTATTTCTCTGGTTGAGCACTTACCGCATGTTCAGCAGGCATTAGCATTTCCTCTGTAAAATGCCTATCCAAGCCTTTCTGCCCATTTTTTCTAATTGATTCAAATTATTTACGTCATGTAGGATTTCTCTCTTACATAAAACTGTCTTGTAAGTTTTTTTTTTAATGTTTATTTATTCTTGACAGAGAGAGTGTGAGTGGGGAAGGGTCAGAGAGAGAGGGAGACACAGAATCGGAAGCAGGCTCCAGGCCCCGAGCTGTCAGCACAGAGCCCGACGCAGGGCTCGAACCCACGAATGGCGAGATCGTGACCCGAGCTGAAGTCGGACGCTCAACTGACGGACTGAGCCACACAGGGGCCCCACATAAAACTTTCTTAAGTGTGTTGCAAACTATTTCTCTCATTCCGTGGCTTATCTTTTTCCTCTTGGAGTATCTTGTAACGAATGGGATCGTTTAAAATTCCCTATTTCACTGCTTCTCAAACTCTCTGTGCACCATTGAAAATTCTTTTCTAGGGGCGCCTGGGTGGCGCAGTCGGTTAAGCGTCCGACTTCAGCCAGGTCAGGATCTCGCGGTCCGTGGGTTTGAGCCCCGCGTCGGGCTCTGGGCTGATGGCTCAGAGCCTGGAGCCTGTTTCCGATTCTGTGTCTCCCTCTCTCTCTGCCCCTCCCCCGTTCATGCTCTGTCTCTCTCTGTCCCCAAAATAAATAAACGTTGAAAAAAAAAAATTAAAAAAAAAAAAGAAAATTCTTTTCTAGTATTGGCAGACTGATGCTTTAGCACAAAGTATAGTGAAAGCCAATTAATATAAAGCTAACCTAAAGCCCCAAATACAATACTGGTTTGTTTTTTTATAAATAGACATAAAATCCCCCTGCCAAATTGTTATGAAAGCTTCTAAAAACGTGCGCTCCAGGTATCTACTCGCCTTGTTGCAGACTAGTAACAAGAAATTGCAGACTAGTAACAAAAAGCACTGTGGGGGTGATCTTTCAGCACCTGACTCATCGTGGCGACTTTGCTGTTGTTTGGTGGCAGGCGGGAGCCTCCCTGCCGGTTCTGATCATTCACCTGCTGGAGGAAACCAGGCCTGAGGCCCCGGCTTCCTGGTTGTAGACTGCGGCACCCCAGAGTAGAGCCCCCCCAGACTGTTCCCAGAGCGGAGCGGGCGTCATTTCTGGTGAGGCTCCGGCCTTGGAGCCTGACAAGCCGGCTCAGAACCCGCCCACCGCCCCGAGACTGGACTCCATTTACCAGGCTCAGGGGGGTGAAAGGGAACTAATCTGGGTTTGTGCTGCTGCTGCCGTGTTTGACTTTCGCACAACAAAGCTTCAGACTAGTTGGAAAACTTTCAGCTGTGGGGGTCTGGTTTCTATCCTGGCCTGGGTGGAGCCAGGAATAACACAGTTTCGTTGCCCCTCATGGATTTAAAAACGTTCAAAACTAGCGTGTCGTTACCCAAGGGAGCGTCAAGCAGTGATGACCGTGTGTGTGTGTGTGTGTGTGTGTGTGTGTGTGTGTGTGTGTGTGTTACGAGAATATCCTCACCAGGGATTCCACTCCCTTTGGCACATGGAGGTTTATAGTGAACGTCCATCTTTTGGTGAGAGAACTGCTTCAAGTTGGGGAAAGGTCATCTTGGGAGAGGGGCCGCTCGGGGGCTGGACCCCGGCGGGTTTGGAAAACGGCTCTGCCTGCTCTGGGCTGTGTGTGCACGTGAGCAAGCCTGTCCCAGCACTGCAGGGAACTCTACGAACCCGGTGCCTCAAGGGAGTCCCAAGCAGCAGACGGAAGGGGAAGCTGGAAACCGGGTGAAATTTTGGAGGCCGTGTGAGTTTCCAGACGGCAGAAGCGCTCAAGATGCGAGAGGCCGCAGAGAGCAAGTAATGAAAGCTGAAGCGGGTGCCTTAGCGTCGCAGCACAAGGAGGCTCGGGTGCCCTCGTGTTCTCAGTGTGAACGTGGGGAGCGCGACGCTCCTGGGCCATGTTGCCGCGAGCACAGGAGTGAGGCGGGGTGAGGAAGAGGTGGGGGCAGACGAGTCATCCTAAAAGCTCTGCTGCTGCCACTGCTCACGACCAGAACGAGGCAGAGACACAGGGCAGGGCCGGGGGAGGATCGGGGGACCAGAGAGACTGTGAGGGTTTATTTTGTTTGCGTGCTCACTTTGTCATTTTAAGGCGGGAGAAGCTTCAGTCTGTGTAAATGACGCTGGAAAAGCTCGGAAGGGGAGGGGAGACTGAACTGTTTTCTTGACTTCCCCGAGTCTTAATTCGCTCATAGGAAAACACGGACACCCGCATGGGGTTCCTGCCGCTGCACCACTTAGAGCAGGACCTGGGAGATGAATGGAATCTCACGGAATGTTCTCTCCCCCTTCACCTTCATGCTGATCCAAGAGAGCACTCAGGCCCCCTCCCTTACGGGATCTGAGGGGCTTTGCGCGTGACTCTGGCTCCCTGCCCGCTTCCTTGTATGTTATTGACTCTAGCCCCTATTCCACCGAGTAACCAAAGGCATCCTGGGACTTACAACTGTCTGTTCCTTGTGAGAAGCTAGTCTTTGCCAGCAGGTGTCTCGGGTTCTGGAGAGCGGAGGTCGCACTTAAAACAGCCTGGGGTGGGGTGCCTGGGTGGCGCAGTCGGTTAAGCATCCGACTTCAGCCAGGTCACGGAGTTCGAGCCCCGCGTCGGGCTCCGGGCTGATGGCTCGGAGCCTGGAGCCTGTTTCCGATTCTGTGTCTCCCTCTCTCTCTGCCCCTCCCCCGTTCATGCTCTGTCTCTCTCTGTCCCAAAAATAAATAAACGTTGAAAAAAAAAAAAAAAACAGCCTGGGGCTCTGACGAGTTTGCTGTCTGACATTCTGGAGGCTTAGGAGGTCAAGGCTACAGGGAAGGCTATTCCATTCAAAGCTGGCCTTGTATAGACACCTGAAAACTGGCGGGATGTCTTGGGTCACATTGTCTACACATAGAGCCTGTGCAGATGCGTGTGATTTATCAACGGAGGAAAGTGGGCAGGGAGGCAGGAGAGGTGAGGGGCGGATCGATGTGACCCCGGCAGCCCTCTCCCTTTGCCTGACCTCACGAACTGTGCCACAGGGTCGGTCCCACTGGAAGCGAGGAGGCCAGCTCCGAGTTCCTCTGTATCCATCCGGCCTTGGCTGCTGGGCCGGGTGACGTGCTGTGTGGGGGGCACCGAGGCCGGTTCTCATTCCACCGAGGGCAGCTGTCCAGAGAAGGGCCTGTCTGTGAACCATTAGC